TATATATATATATCAGTGGACTTTGAGGGTAGAGGTTTAAATCTCACTTTATTTATTTAGATATATTATTATTAATAATATAGAAATTTATAGATAATCTTCACCTAAAATAAATAAAGAATATTGCTTTTTCATTTAGACAAGAAGATATTAGTCACAATACAAATAAACGGTTAGATTTTAAATTCATAGAATATTTATGTTATCTTTATTTATTTGTGGAGACAATTCAATCTTTTACATGTTAATCTTATATCTCATTTTGTGTACTCTTTTATTAGAACATTATTGTATTATTGAAGTGAGTTGAACTTTTTCTCATCTTCCTTTGCACTTTCTTCCTCCTTTTTTTTGTTTTTTTTGTTGTGTGCATAGTTCATATGGTATCATAGTCTATTTCATTTCAAACAAAAGCTTTTGGAAATATGTAAAAGGCTTAACTATCCTTAAAAAAAGTTGTCCAACAAGACTATTTTCTAACAAATTATTTTAGGATAATTAACCATTTTCTTTGACAATAATGTACATGGATAGAGTATTCAACTTGAAAAGCTAGTCTCGAAGGACCCAAAAGTTTAGTTTGATTTACAAATTAAAAAAGTTATGTTGACCAATGAATAGCCTAGAAAATTGAAGCGCAAATCATGGTGAATGGTGATGTGTGTATTGGCAAGACATACACGTTTCCAGCTATCATGAAACAATCCACGTGAACTACGAATTCGGGGTAATTCAATTAATAAGGAGTTATTTTAGTTTAATTAATGTTCTTGAGTTTAACTTTTAGATAAGTAATTGTATTAAATATTTATAATTTTTTATTATTATTATTTACAGTAATAATATATCGCTCAAATAGAATTGTGTTTAAGAGAAAATACATGTAATTTATAAAAGAAAAAAAATTGGCATGAGATGTGAAAGCATTGGCGGGGCAGAAACAATACAATAATAGCATGTGACTGCTGTTTTGACTCTAATCATCTAATGCCTACAACCACAAACCCCTTTGCAGGATATCCATTCTGCATTAATCATAAATTGACATCTTCTCACAAATCAAGTTTAATTTCTTTCTCAATACAATTTTGGAACAGAGAGTATATTTTCTTATACTTTTAAAAATTATGTTATTTTTTATAAATAATTATTTAAACGAAAATATACATGTGGACTAGATAAAAGAGACCAATATATTTTCTCCATCAGATTGTTCATATATTTATACTAATAAAATAATATGAGAATAACATTTTCTTTCCGTCAATTAGGATATAGTTTTTTTAAGTGAAAAAAGTATTTTAACTTATAGTGTTTATAGCATGTAAATTCGTTTAATCTTGAAGTTAGTTTTGTCTTTAGTGATAGTGATATAGTCTTTTGTTTTTAATTTTTATTTTTTTTAATTTTTATAAAATAAGTAAATTTTGCTTTTGATTTTGATAATTTTTTTCTTAGTTTATCATTTTTAAAATTTTTGATAATTATTTGTATGTTTATTAAAAGTTAAATAATCATTTTAAATGTTATTTATTATTGTTAGTAATATTACATCAGTATGATACCTCTAAAATTTTAAATGTTATTTATTTAAAATTATTGTTAAAGATAAAAAAAATATATATCAACCTTAAATTTTATAGAGATAAAAAATAAAAATAAAAACAAAAACATTTTTCATATTAAAATAAAAAAATTTCTTATTTTAGAAAAATAAAAATAATATTTATAAATTTTAGAATGATAAAAAAATATCAAAATTAAAATTTAAGGGCTAAATATACTTGAACCAAGGTTTTTCTATAATCAAACTTCTATCAATATACTTACCAAACCGTAATTATTTATTAATTGTGTTCAACCTTATTTGCAATATAAATAATCTTTATTGAAGTGATTGCTCTTTCAACATAATTAAAAAAATGTTATTGTACGTATTTGTGGTGGACCAAAGTAATTAACGTCTTTATATTTATTTATTAGAAGGACTTGGCGGGCCTAAAATGTAGAGATTATGGGATTTTCACCTGCTTCATTATTAAAAGAGTAATGCAGAAAAGTTGTAAAAAAAAACTGTAGACCCACCATTGGAGAATTCATTTCTCATTTGCCGCTAAAGAGTGACACCTCTAAAATTTTTATATATTATTAAAATAAATATTATTTATTCATCTTAAAATAATTGTTATAAATTAAAAGTAATAATTTTATATTTAAATGAATGGAAATATATATAAAAAATTACTAAAATCAAAATCAAAACTCACTTATAAAAAGGATATAAAGTAATATGTATTAATATAATATATAATAAAATTAATCTAAACAAAGCATAAATATGTTTCAAATCAAGGAAATAAAGATAGTTTATTCTTAAAATAATGACTTGTTTTAATTATTGTAATAATCTGTTATGACTATTACACGTAGAATCACTACTAATATCATAAATTAGTTTACTAAAATTATAAAAATCTAGCTATCAGATATATGAACTTACATATAATAAGAATATAAAAGTGAAATCATCGTATGAGTGTAGATCATATATATACATGTACAATAATTCCTAAGTAAATTATATAACCTAGTAACAATCAAGCACATATACAAAATACATAAAGTAGCATCGAGACCAACAAAAGTCCATCGACCTGCCAGTAGCTACTCCTCCTACCTTGCCCTAATCTACTCCCATATAATATATTATCATTGTAATCCAAACTATATGAAAACAAAAGAGTAAGCTAGAGTTTGAAAACATGTAAGCATAAAAAACAATTTTATGTCATACAACTCAACTTAAATATAGTGTTACAATCATAGATGATAATAATGGAAGGTAAATGATAACAACATACACACACGATTTTAATAAAAATAAATATTAAAAAAATTGTAAATCTCATTTTTATTTAATAAATTTTATTTATAATTTTAATTTTTAATAAATTTTATTAATAATAAAATGTGTATTAAAAAAGATGTTAATGTCTAAACTCCTCGATCGCAAAAAGAAACTAAAATCTATTATACTTTTACACATGGAGGTGAAGAATTTAACTACAGCAAGTTAGCCACCAAAATTGACCTTACAATTCCTAACAGAATTATGCCTTTATAAAGTTTAAAGGCAGGTTTAAAAAATTTACCATGAACTCATTCACATAACTTATAACTATCGTACTGAATGAACAACTTTACAGTTTCGTTTAGTTAAAACAATTGGCATAAGCACGACTGTTAATGGATCCTGTCAAGTAAAGAAAAACAAAACAAAATAAAACTTCACATGCACAAGTGTCATAATTTAATTGTTTATTTTTTTTTAAACATTAACATTAAAATAAGATATGTTCTATTAATGAAATTTAGTAAAACATTAGAACCTCATGCGCTAATATAAAAATGGATTCTCCTTAACTTACAAATAAATCCTTTTGAAACAAAAATAAAGAAACTGGACATGATCAAATGTAATTAATGATTTCATTATTTATTATTTATAGTTGTCAACATTGAAATAGAAATATATAATAAATTTATTGAGAGATATTCTTAGGCAATGTGCCCTTCAGTATCCCACACTGGCTGAACTAGTTATATGTCCATTGACTTGGTGGATATTCTTAGGCAATGTGCCGCTGCTTTTTAACTGGAGTGAATCCAGGAAAAATCTTCAAAACTTGTTTTCTAACAAAATGTTTGTTGCTTTAAGATTATTGGGATGCATACAAAGTTTTCATCGTTAGAACAAAAACATAGATACGGGTATGTTTATAAATATACGCAAATTTATGAAAGTTTAAATCTATACTAACGTAAAAACGAAGCGTGAATCTTTGTGAACAGCAAAATATAATACTACTCTTGAAAGTTTATCTCTCTGCGACATACCAAAACAAATACAAAACCAACCACGAAAAATCTGTGGACTATATTTGGATTGCACTGTTCATACAAATATAGAAACCTGTCCCATGAGCATCATGCATTAGTCTGTTCCAGACACGATGTCTTTTCATGGCAAGTCTATGGTTGAGAGCAAGAGAGAAGAGGAAATCCATTAAAATCTAGAGACGTTAGAATTTAATAGGAAAAAATGTATTCATTGAAGAACCTGCATGAATTATGGACGTATCACGAGATTTTCTTTAATGTAATAAAGATTTAATAATTATTACAGATCATGTGCTGCCACTTGAGAATGACAGAAAATGACTAGTTCCTGACATCCTGAGTAATGGAATCAATACATGTAATTGATTTGAAGACCCGGTTAACATCTTTCTTCTAATTTCCACTGCAAGAGGCATCATGTATTACTCCGGCTTAACAATTAAGCCTTTCATACAAAATCCATGAAGACGCAAGAGGTTCGGATACACAGCCAAGCTAACAATCTCAGTTTGCGTTTCAAACTGCACTTCTCCGGTGTGTTTGCAAGGCATCTTAGTAGACACTAGACAACACCAAAACCATCATGTCCTAGGATAAGGAATTATATGAACGAAACCATCGCATGTTCCTTAAACTAAGCTATATATAATTTGTAGTTATATTTTTCAATTTACGACACATCACTTAAAAATTAATCAACGTCAGACATGTCACGTCACGTAACTTTCAATCAAGATCATGTCCACCAGCTGATACCAGGATCCGTTCCAGGAAATCTCTCACCTTAAATATGTTTGGGATTTCGACCAATCCCCAGGCTAGTGCTGTATAGAATTGATTATTTTGTTGTGTATATTAAGTCGATTTGCAAGAGAACATGTTCTAGTCTCCCAACATTTTTGTTTTGTGTCAACATAGAAAATTACGAGCCCTGTCAGTTCCAAAGGAGCTAAAACTTGGGAATTAAAATTCAAGATTAAAAAAAAAATGAAATGTGGAAGAATAGAACGCCGCATTGAAAAAAAAACAGGTAGATAACACATTACATTTCACAAGAAAAGGAACTGGTGTGCAACATTACAAATGAGGCACATATCAACATGAGGAAACCAAAGCCAACCAACAGCCCCATCATCAAAACAAGTCTTGACCCTCCCTTCCTTCCAGCCAAGGCTTTAGTTTTCCCCTTACAGAAGCATTGAGTTCTGATCTGACCATTTCAGGCCAAAGTATACTACTATATGACATGTAGACGTTTACAATAAACAAGGCTATGTTTGCCTGGGAAAATAAAGATCCACCAGTAGAAACAGAGAACCAAAAGGTATACATACACTGACGGATCAACTGCAGCCATCCCGCACCTCAAGTCTCAGTCCAGGTTCAGCTTGAAACTACATTGGCCAGGCCACAGCACAAGGTAATTTAGACAAAAAAAAATGGTGCCACTTTCGTTTAACTTATCAATTAGTATACACCATGCCTTCCCTAAGTATATCATCACGATCCTGCTGA